CAATCGCCACATTAACGTTACTACTGTTACTGGCCGATTCCTCGGGGAATTTATATTCCGTTTTAAGTCAAGTGTAGGCCCTAGGGGGGGGGTGGCTAGTAGTAGTAGTAGTAGTAGTAGTAGCAGCAGTAGCAGCAGTAGCAGCAGTAGCAGCAGTAGTAGCAGTTGGTGGTGGTGCTGGTGGTGGTGGTGCAAAAGAGTAATAACAACAATTTCAGCTGTTGTGCCAGTAGAGAGAAGAACCAGCACCAGTACTACTGTGGATGTAGGAAATCATCCACACAACTGTGATTGCTAGGCTATAGGGTATACGAGGTGGTCCACAGTAGGACCAATACTTGTTGTATTTCTTGGGGTTGGAGTAGTAGACGTCGTCATCGTCGTTTTTTGGTCAGTAGCAGCAGTAGTGCTAGTAGTACCATTTGCATTGCTGCTGCTTAGGAGCAGGATTAGTAGAAGCAGTAGCATTAGTACTACCAGCAGTACCAGTATTACGAGTAAGTAGTAGCCGTCGCAGTTCTAGTAGTCTTAGTTCTACAGCTAGTAGTATGAACATTCGTGGATTTTCTTCTTGCTCTCCCTAAACCCTAAACCCTATATAACCCATTATAGTAGTTTCCATTTTCTTTTCCACTATCCCCATGAATAACCATAAAAGGCGGCTATATAACCCATGTAGTATAGCAGTTTCCATTTTGATTTTCATTATCCCAATAGGGTAGTTTCCCAAAATAAGGGGACCCCAATATAAACCCCAAAATACTATAGTCCTTATTATAGGGACCCCCAAAATGGTACCCCTAATTTTGGGAAATTCCCAATATACACTGACTTCAGGGCCTGGAGCCGGACGAATTCCTTTGCGCCATTTACCATGGACTTGGGGGTAACGATCCTGAGCGCCCTTTGCAACTGCAGCACCTTGGCCTTGCAACTGCCAGGAAACATCTCAGTTTTCAATTCATTTTCCATTTTCTTTTCAGATTGATTCTCCACAGCTGGCGTTACTTTCCTTAAGCCCCCCCCATAATAATCCCTAGATAGCCCTCATTTAAGCCCTAAATACCCTTATGTAATTCCTGTATTTCTAGAGGTCTTGGTCTTTTCGAAAGCGTTGAAAAAGCTAATGCAATAGCCGGCAGAGCTGCACTTAGGCGGGTGCCAGCTTCGCGGGTGGACCCAGAGACAGGAGGAATCGCTGCGAGAGAATTTGCAGGGATATGGAGGGACTTGGAGGTTTCAATAGCAAGCTGCAACTATTTTTTCTCCCTGATCAGGCTTCCAGTGTTGCTTCGCCGATCTTTGCCCTGAAGCTGCATATGTGGTGCTCCTGACGGCGGCGCATAGTGGCCTTGGACTGGGAGAGTTTGGGCCTCAGCTGCCGCCGCTCTGCGTGCTGCAAAACGTACTCATTACCTTTGGTTGTTTTATGCTTGCAAATTCAAGTTGGCAATGTGTGTGTGGTACCGCCGCGTTGTCAGCACGAGACCTTTCGAAGTCAGGTGCTGCTTTTTTTTAAACTGATGGGAATACTGGAGATCCACTCAATCGTCACAGGTGAGGTGATTACCTCTTTGGACACAGATGATTTCGGTTCAGAAGAAGGTCCGACAGGTCTGAACATCAAGGAACGCCTGCGAGAGCTGCTCCACATCTCAAGCTTTCGCCAGAAGCTGCTGGTCGAGGACGAAGCCGTCGATGATGACATCACTTGGAGCTCTCTTGGATGTCCAGCCTACATGCAGGTAGTACTGCTGGAATTTGTAAATGGAGCAGAAGAGGAGCTCCTCAACGCAGCCCAGCAAGGGGACTTTGCTGAAGCCCAGAGGTGCCTTAAAGCCCCGCAAGAGCCTAACTGCCAAGACACGCACGGTGAAACGCCTCTCTGCAAGGCAAGTAGAAGGGGAGATGTTGAAATGCTGGAGTTGCTGCAGCGAGCTGGAGCTGATGCCAACTTGAAGAGCATCAGAAGTTCTCCCCTGATAGAAGCCGCTACCGAGGGTCACGCAGAGGCCGTGCAGCACTTGCTTGCTGCTCGCGCCCAGGTTGATGCAGTTTCGAACGGGAGGACTGTGCTACATGCTGCCGCAGCTCGAGGTCACTTGCAGTGTTTGCAAGTACTTCTAGAAGCGAGTGCCGATGTAAACCAGAAGAACTCCAACCAAGCCACCGTTCTGCATTTGGCAGCACAAAATGGGCACCGCCATGTTCTGCAGTATCTGCTGGATGCTGGGGTTGACAAGCATGCCAAGAATGTAGTCGGAGCTACGGCGCTGCACATTGCTGCTGAACGGAAGCATCCAGAGGTTGTCAGATATTTGGCAAGGTCTGGGATTTCCTTGACAGCCGGAAATCAAGTCAATGCAACTGCCTTGCACATAGCTGCGGAAAAAGGCTACGTCGAGGTGATCCATGCCATGCTGCAGTCATTGCAGCTTGGCAATGGCGAATCTGGTGATGATCCTGATGAGGTGGCATCCCTAAGCACGGGGCCTGCCACTGAAGCCCTGACAGAGCTGCTCAATGCAAAAAACATGAACGGAGCAACAGCTCTTCACATCGTGGCGGAAAGGGGTACCTTGCAGGTGGTGGAATGCTTGCTGGAGGCAGGTATTGACAAGGATGCAGTCAACAATTGCAATGCTACGGCTTTGCACTTGGCAGCAGGCAACGGCCTTCTCAGAATTGTGCAGTGGTTGGTGGAGGCCCAGGCAGATGTGAACGTTCGGTCAGATGCTGGCAACACACCCTTGATCAATGGAGCGGCAAGCGGTGACCCCGCAATTGTCAAGTGCCTACTTGAAGCTGGGGCTGACAAAAATGCAAAAAACTTGAAGGGGGATACAGCTTACACCCGTGCTGCTGTGCCGGGAGTGATTAGTGTCCTAGACGCCGCCGAAGGCGCCGCCTAGTGCCGTATGTTTTGGTAAAGCCAGTGGATCTCAGATCCGTGCCCGACATTCGTCAGGCTCTTTTTCGGCTTGAAACAAAAGTCACCTGGTGGCATGTTATTTGGGGGTTGTAATTTGGATCAACATGCTGTTGCCAGCGAATCAGTCTTCTGAAAGAGTAGAAAATGCCATGAGACATGGAGCAAGCGTGTGGTTGGACACGCATGATATTCTGGGAAGTGACATCTCCGCTAGGTTACATGTTGCTGGTCTTTCCATCGCAGAGGATGAAATGGCCGTGCAGCTTTCGCGACAGATGCCTACATCTACGTTCCCACTTCAATTGCCGCCTCTGATGCTGCTAGTATATGGAATCAGAATCAGAAGATGGTAATTTCCCTAAATAGGGGGACCCGAATATAGACACCAAAATACTATAATCCTTATGATGGGGACCCCCCAAAAGGTGCCCCAAGTGTTGGGAAACCCCCAGATGGATTTCCAACAGGGTTTATAAAGTTGAAGGTTGTTGAAAGCCAACCAGCAACGTTTTGGCACAACTAGCCCTTCTCTCTCCTATGTTTCTCCCTGGTCCAAAAATGGGCGCTTAAAACCCCCAGTACATTATAGTCCCCCTTTGTGGGGACTCCGCAAAAGAGGCCTGTGATTTGTGGTTTTAGGGTGTAGGGTTTACGGTTTGGAAACCACTCTATACTCCCGGATTCCATTTCATTTTCCATTTAATCCTCCGTCATCCCTAAACCCTTAAAAGAAATAGCTTCGATTTCTTTTTCATTTGATGTTCCATTTGATTGTCCGTTATTGGGGGAGAATATAGATTTCATAATGTGTACATGTCATACATTATCTATATATCAAAGCCTTAGCTCTAAACCCCAAAACGCTAGGACCCTAAAACCTTGACTCAACCCCTTTATGCCTATATTCTCCCTGTACTACCCTATATAACCATGTTCAATCAAATTGACAAAAGGCCAGCTCGGCTTCCTTGTCGGACGCTTCCACGCGTCCTTCCAGCCATCCCTGACAGTCTGATCGTGAGGAGTTCCTCCATGTGTGCTTGATCTCTGGTTAGCAATGAATGGGTAGTTCCCAAAATTAGGGGTATGTAGCGGTCTCTAGGGGTTATCTAGGGATAATGGAAAAGAAAATGGAAGCTACTACTTAGGTTGTAGGGTTTAGGGTAGTTCCCAAAATTAGGCCCATCATATTTGAGAGCAACCCAAATGAAGGAATGGATCATTACAGCAGTCTCTATAGAATCCCCAATCAAAAATGTTGTAGTTTCCATCTTTTCCATTCCTTCATTCCCTGCTAACCAGAGGTACGTGGAATGTAACGCGGTTGTCCCTGTGTACTTCTGCAAGTCTCGCACCCCAAATCCTACACCATCTACACCCTAAACCCAAAACCCCAAACTCTAAACCCGAAACACACTAAACCCACTAAACCCAAAACACAAAACCCTATGCCAGGAGCTCCGGCCCGACCTGGGTCGAGTTGACCTGGGAAGAGCCTTGTGTCGGCCCCTCAGCCAGTCGACTGTGAACCGCCAACTTTGAATCTGTGCTCACAGAGGGGTTTTCATGAGCTACGGTCTAAACTCCTTATTTAGGGTTTAGGATATAGGGTTTAACATTTAGGATTCAGGGTTTGGTCTAGACTCCTGAAAGGGAGGGTTATTTGGGGATTATATAGGGGAGTAGTATAGGGGTCATGAAGGGGAATACTAGGAGTTTAGACTATAGCTCACATGGGGTTATGCGGGGGTTGTAGAATCCCATATAGCCCTTATATCACATCTGTATATCACCTTATATAACCCTTCTATAAAGCCCTATATACATACATGAGTGAATGTGTATATGTATATAACAAAAAAGATAGATACACAAAGATTCGATAACATATATACATATATGAGCATTTGGGTTCGAGGTCGCACTC